TATATATATTTTTTTTTTTTTTTCCATTTGTGTATTTGGTATGGGGTCTCACTATACAGATCAGATTCATGGTTTTTAGGCTCCCTAGTGCTGGGATTATAGCCGGATTACAGGCATGTGCCACCATGCTGGGACTCTGTTGCTGGCTCAGAGAGCCCTGGGGGCAGGGCCAGTATGGCATGTGGGACCAGGGATAGAACCCTGGTCCTTGTGTTTGCCAAAGCAGGTGCTTAGTCCACTGAGCTATCCCACTGGCCCTTCAATGGATAAATTATGCAGCATTATACATTTTATCATTATACATTATATCGTTTTATATTTATTACCCTCACCTGGATATTTGCCACCTTTATTTCTTCTGATGAAGCAAACGATCAGCAAGATTAGGATAAGGAGAGCAACAGCACACATGAGACCTATGAACCAGCCCTGAGTTGCAATGTCCACCTGCCGACTTGCCATTGCTGGGAAAGAAACCGAGGGTTTAGTGGGAATGTGTGAGGGGCATTAGGAACTGTGGCTGGTCTCTTGTAGTAAGAAACCACCACAGTACATATGCTCTTATATATTTTATATTTGCCACCAAATTGGAATCTGTCATCAATTGGGAATTATATAAATACTTAACTTTGAAAAATCATCATTAAAAACATTCAAAAAGAGACATTTAAATGCTAAAAACAATAACTGCTATCAAATCCTTCATAAATATCTTAACTACATATTCTTAGTGAAACCATATGTCCAGGCCAATTAAAAATCTACTTGTTACAGCATAAACTGTATATGAAGTATAATTATAAAATATAAAATGGAATTTTAAAATAGAATAGAATGTATACATTTGGTGAAGTATTTTTCCTTCAAAGAAAACCACTTCTGGAGGCTAAAATACAATTACAACACAAATACCACTTTTTCAAAGTGTTTTGGAAATTTTCTGTTAAAAAAAATAAAGAAAATGGTCCACACAGGAAACCCGATCACATGAGAAACCCAGCCATCTTATTTTACATAACCCCTCAGTTCTAAATAGAAATGCCTAAAACATCAATTCACCCTCAAATAATCAATATTAATTATTACTTAGAATCTACTCAAGATTGTAAAATAGATTTTGACCAGTGGAATCATTATTTGAATATACGACCAATTTGAAGAGAAAATACTCAGTTACATGTATACATTGTTTTTATGCCCTCATCTCTTCTTGAGTAAGTAAAAGGGAAGCCCTTATTCAAGCAGTTACAGTATGCAAAGCTCATAGGAAAGCCATACAATAATTAGCATTTCTGGTATTACTTAAAAGTGTCAATCATATGGGACAAAGTGCAGCATCAATGGCTAGTTAGACATGCCCATGCAGATTTGCTTAACCAAATTTTATGAATGCTTTATTAAAAGCCTTCATTTTTCTCTTCTGCCCATAATCAAGGCAAAAGGTTTAATTCTTCTGACTTAATAATCATGCTGGTATCATGCTTTTAGTTGACTGAATTTCTTCTGAAAGCATTTCACATGGTTGGGTTAGATGTATGTGACTTCTCAATGCAGAAATAAACACATCTACACGTATCCCAGTCTTCCTATGTGTTGCAAAACAACACCTCCTTGTCTCCTTTTCTCCACATAAAGGAGAAAAAAAAGATGGTTAAAATCAAGTGTGAAAAGCAAAGCAAAAAAAAAAAAAAAAAGTCCAGAAATATGTTTAAGAAATAAAAGGAAAAGTGGAATCATATTAACTGGAGTACAAATCCAAATGCTGACTGTATTTCCCCAAGAGCCCTTCATCCTTAGAGGGGTGTGGAGCTGTACCATATCCAGACGCAACTAGAGCATGAGGATGGGCAGCTCCCCCTTCCCTATGCATTCCTTGGTTATGATATGAAGAAGATAATGCTAACAGCAATGGTAGCTAACATTTGGGGACCCTTACAACGTGCTAGACTTTGTGCTTAGGGCACAGTCTCATTTAATCTTTAGAATAATCCTTTGAAATAGGCCTTAGGAATAGACTCACAGCCAGAAAGGGTAAAGAGCTTGCCCAAGAGTGGAGATGGCTCCACTGAGCATGTGGATAGCTTTTACACTCTACTGAAAACACATGCTGACATCAAATCTGAGAACTTCTGAACATAGAATAAAATGTTAGTGGGACTTCCTTTTTTTTTTTAATGTATTTAGCACAGGGTTTATAGGGCATCATTACACAGATCAGACTTGTAATGATTCTCCTGTTTTCAACCTCACAAGCACTGGGATTACAGGCATGCACCACCACGCCCAGTCTCAATCGCTGTCTCATTGAACCCCAGGGGCGGGGCCGGCTCAGCACAACGGATCTAATCTGTCCCCCCACCCCCCATCCTGTGTCTGCCTAAGCATGCACTTTAATGTGCTGAGCTCTATGGCTGGCCTGTTAGTGTGACTTTCTATAGTGAGGAACGCAACAGTATTTGCAAGGTCCATCATCACTCTGTTTGGCAATGTATTTCCAAATTTCCCACATAGCTGTTGTGTGCTTTGTCTTCAAGATGATACTCAAAACCAAGAAGCAAAGTCTCTTGAGCATTTGACTTAAGTTAGAGTCCTTGTTTTCTCGATGCTTAATGATTCATATCTTCATCATAAATAGTACCAGCACTCACATTTTTCACCTAATTAATGGCAATTGATCAGGAAAAAATGCACAAAAATGCTCAATTATTAGCACAGTTTTTGTCTTACAAAGATGGTGCATCCCAAAACTGACCTGACACCCGGCAGTCTGTCCATATGCAACTCTGCAAAAACTGGATATGTTTCCTTGACAGCCAGTGAATAAACACTCAAATTGAATTTGAATTTTTGCCTCTATGTCAAAGAAAGAAAGGTACTATGTATTCCCTACCCCATTATTTAAGGTTAATTGGCACAATAAATTAATAGGTTCATGAGCGTATGTGGGTGTATACACACACATGCACAAAGACACACACACACACACACACAACTTGATAAAAAAATTCTGTAAGCAGAATTAAGGCGTATTGACTTGCCATCTATAAAAAAGAAAACTGAAGCCACTCTAAATCCTCCTATCTGCAATACACAAACCAAGGTCATAATGAAGATTGTACAGACCACACACACATAGACGAGGACATACAAAAGAAATCTATGTGTCTTTTATTCTAGAAACTGAGCTATAATAGGTAGGTGTTAATAGGAAGGGGTTGGAGACTTTATCTGAAAATTTTTGCAATGAAGTTATATACATGCATTACTTCAACAATCCATAAAGTGTTAAACACATATAGAGTAATGAGTAAAGTTAAGATGGGCAGAGGAATGAAGTCTGCCTCATTGCCTCGAAGTCAGCTCAACAATGGCCTTCTGCCCTCACATTGCTCACTGTGACACACAGGAGCTATGCTCAGTTCGGTGTCTCTGAGGAAAGTGCTCTTGAGAACTCAGAAGCTAAGAATAGACAAGGAAGAGACAGAGTGACAGAGATGGCTACCATTTTTTTTTTTTTTTTTTACTATTCTGTTTATGAAGAATCAACGAGGTATAAAAAGACCCTCTTGGGCTTAAATACTTAGAAATGTTTAAAAAGAGAAAAAGAGATCCTGACCAAAGTTTGGCAGCATTTGACAAAAAAAAAGAATCTACTTTAACTCTTTGGAGACATCTGAGAAGGGACCTGATAGCTGATGGATAGAGGTAAGAAAGGAAGAAGGGGGTGGTATAGACACCAGATTCACACCAGGAATATGGGGGAGAAGCAACACATCAGACACTGCCTATCACCTTCCTTCTCAGTGAAAATTAAGAATATATCTTACCAATCTCAACTATAAATGGCATAGATGGAGTCATTTTAGGGAGATTCATGCAATAGGTATAGAAGAAAAATTAAGGCTAGGTTTCCAAACTTATCTGGATGCGAGACAGAGACAGAGAGAGAGAGAAAGAGAGAGAGAGAGAGAGAGAGAGAGAGAGAGAGAGAGAGAGAAAATGAATCTATAAATGTGGAATTTAAAAACGTAGCCTGATGGTAAGTTTTCATACCAAGTACTAATGTTCTTTTTCCTCCATGCCTACCATGGGGGAAGGAGGAGCAAGAGCACAAGTCAGTGCCCTCTCTCAGGAGTCAGCTAAAGGCTGAGTACACCAGGAGGGGGAGTTGGAGTGACTTTGAGGAGAGGCACCCTACGATGCTGACACTATCTGCTCTTAGGAGTAATGTGTAACTAAGGTGTCTAAACTTTAACCAACATTTGTTCTTTTTGATAGTTACACCCATACACATGTAAAAAGTGACCTCCGGCAGTGCCTCCTGTCTATCACTGCCATACTAGAGTGGTCCATCCCTTGCTACCACTGAGTCACCTGGCAGTTGCTGCTGAAAAAGGAGATGTCATATTATTAAAGTGAAGCAACTTCCTAAAAGGGTTTCTTTTGGCTAAGAAAAGGATAAAACATGACACAAATTGGGTTTGAGGGTGAATCTATCCCATCTGCATGTCAGAACTACAGAAAGCCTCATTTCTCAGACAGCCTATTCCTCTTGGTGTGGTCCCTGTGACTTTGCACGGCAGGGGCTTCTCATCTGATGTGGGAAAGCCGGGCTCCTCGTCCCTGCTCTGTCATGACCCAGCTGTGGCCTGGGCAGGTTCTGAGTGCTGACGTGATGTCAGTGGGCAGTAACAGTCCCACTTTTAGGACTGTTGTAAGGACTGGAGGAGAAAACTCCTCACTCATCTGGTGCAGAGGTGCATTGACTAAATATTAGTACTATTACTGTTACTCTCAATCTAGCTGTGTATCTCCTTGAGCTTTTAGTATCTTGAAATTATGTTACCAGTAACAAAATTTGTAAAAAAAAAAAACAAAAACCCAGGTGCAATGGTACATAACTGTAGAATCCTAGCACACTGGAAAGGGTGAGGAAGGATTGCAAGTTTGAGCACAGCCTGATCAACACAGCATTTTAGTGAGACTCTGTCTCAAAAAAAAAAAAATGCTTGGGAAGGAGCTCAATTGTGAAGGCTCTGGATTTAATCCAAGTACAAGGAAAATGAAAAAAAAAACAAAAACAAAAACAAAATAAAAAAAACCCAAACCCAAAACCAAAACACCTTGTAAAACTAATTATAAATCGATTAAACAGTTAATGCAATGTTTTCTTACAACTATGTATATAAATGGATATGAGAAAAAAAGAAAAAGAAAAAATGGGGAAAAATTTTCATATATTTAAATATGCCCCTTGATAAGTTATTGAGTATCCTTTGGTTTTAGTGTCTCATTTCATTTGTTTTGGGTACCAGGAATTAAGCTCAGGACTTCACGCTTGCCAGCACTGCCACTGAGCTATCTCTCTGGCCTTTCGTCTCTTCTAGTAAACCACCTATGGCTGTACATTTTTACCATAAGAAATGACTCAATGATCATAATGCCTTATTAATAAAAGGCACTACAAAAAAAAATAAAAGGCACTACAAGAATTTGCTTATTGTTTCAATGGGATACGTATATTTCCTCAACATGCATGAAGTGACTGTTTACAAGATGAATCTATGAGCCATAAAATGAGCATGTGCCACACAATCCTTGTATAAATAACCAGGGATTGTTTTCCATCTTGTGAGCAAATATGAATACTCTTGCATTTGATCTGAATATAACTCTTACTTTGGAACTTTACTTTTTGCTGGTGCAGTTTGTTCATGCTCACATAACAAATGCAGGCAGTCAAATTTGTTGTGACAAAAGTATAGCATTCAAGTTATGTAACTTCTTGTTCCACACCAACTTAATATTTCTATCAACCATCTAGCCAAATTGCAGGGTTCTGCTGGGTTGTAGTCCATTCTGACATAGAGTTATTTCAACTTTGAAAGCATTTAAAAATTTTTGACTCAATATTGAGGGAAATCTTATACATGTAAGTTATATAAAAATAAAATTACCTAAATAATATTATGCTCCTTTCTAAGTCTGTATCTTATAATAGGTTTTGGCAATAAAGTGGTTAGGAGATGATTTGCTTGACTCTGTAATTAATTTGATATAAAAAGCCAAAGACAATGGAAAGCCAAACTCCTAACCCAACAGGGCCCTGTAGAGACATACATGGCCCTACCCATAACACAGCTCCACCAGCCTGTCTCCAAGTAGAGTGGCCAGTGGCTTCCACCTCTGAGCATCAGCCAGACCTGGTATGCTGTGTGCCTCACCTGGGCCTGTCTCAAACACAGCCTCTGAACTCACAAAACCAGAGTCCCCCTCAGCACCAACTCGAACTTTGTATGCTGTTCCTGGCATTAGACCCTTTAACCCAAAGAAGCTCCGAGAACCATTTACAATTTCTTTTCTCCATTCTTCTTTGCCTATGGAAATTTTGCAAAAACAACAAATTTGAACATTTTAAGGGACCAAAGTTACTTAATGCTTCAAGAAAGGAAAATTCTTCATAAGTGAAAGACAAAATCTAGGATGCTTAGTTATTATTTTAGATTATCATAAATGTCAAATAGGACAATTAAATGATGTCCTATATATATGAAAGTATACTCAAGTAAAAATATACTGGACATAGAAATTGCATGTTAACTATATATATTCTTATCACATTCTTTTTCATATAAATGAAGCTTCTTCTTCTGTATCTTGTCTTATAGTGCTGTTGAGTTTCTCTAAAGATGTTTATGAAAAGAACAATTATACATTAAATAGCATAAGTCAACTATGGGAAAATTATTTTTTAATATCTAAAACATGAATCTTTTGGTAAGCTCCAATTTATAGACTGAATCTTTCCCAAGTATTTGCTCCTTTAAAAGGATAGTCATTTTCTAAAGTAGAAAATGAATTTAATTTTAATTCTACACTCATAATTTATTTGTCTGATAAAGGCCTAAGCAGAAAGTTGGACTATATTCAATATTCTGTCAAATATTTGCTCAAACGTTCATTGGTAAGCCAGTTCATTTTCTACAGAGAATTCTGCATTAAGAAAATGACACTGGGCTTCTGTAAACTGTTGAAATTAATGCTGTACCATATCCCAGTAGATGTGGCAGGGATGGTAGTACTGGGCCAGTCTTGGGTCAAACATCCAAACATAATGATTCCCCCTAAATCTTTAATTTTCTATAATTGTAAAATTCTTGGAATAGTTTAGGTAAAATATATACTTTCGAGTCAGTTTGATTCCTACCGTTTCACAGTTCAATATGCAAAGTCTTTTCTCCTTTCTTTTACTTACAAATTATTCACTACTACTTATTGTATTTTATGGGTATAGAAACAATTTAAAGTATTACGATATGAAAAATAACATCTGAAGGGAGCTTATGTCTTTTTTTAAATCAACAACATGAAAAAAAGGAGACTCCTAGTTATATATGAGATATGTAGACTGGTGAACTATACTTTTCTAAATAATTCTGATTCACTTAATTGGATTGAGATACTTTTCAAGACGATTCACAGTAAATATCAGAAATGTTTGTAATTTCATGAAATGTGTCCCCCAAATTAAAAGCAGGGTAATGAAATTATTTCTTACTGCCTGCTACACCATATTCAACATAAAAGTTCACATGCTCTGGTCCCTCATATTTCCAACTGATATTGGCAGAGGTCTCAGCAGCTGCAGCAGTAAGATTGCTGATCCTGGGATTTACTGCTTGAACTAAATATGCAATAGAAAAATAAAACAAACAAACAATCACTTTGCAGCACCATACATGCACATAGAGAATAAATTTAAATGCTATGAAATTGTACAAATAAAATGAAATTAAATTTATTGTTAAAATTAAGGGCTCACTCATACTTCATTGTTATTACAAGAAGGTTTTTCATTTATTAAATTGCAGCATTAGGAAATATTCAGATATAATGATAAATACTACTAGAGTTTAGAGGTTCTAGCATGGGGTTCTGAGCAATGTAGATTGTGAGCCCTGCAGCCATCACACAATCTTTATTTACTGATGGGTGAAGGGGTTGTGGAACAATCCCAGGCACAGAGATTGTTACAGTATCAGAAACTTCCAATACTCTGTGGCTACTTTTAAATTCTGTTTGTCATCTCAGTTCAGGTCTTAAAAAAACTGTGTTGATATGAGACAGAATGCTCCTTAGAACAGTGGCTTTGGTCTATTTTGTGTCACAAACTGAGAATATGAGGAGCTGAGAAACTTTACAGAATGTGTGGATGGTTAGGGTGCGCTGGAAGAAAAGCTGCAAAAGGAATTGCCAAGCATGCTTAGCAGAAGTTAAAAAAGGAGACACAAAGAGTAGGAGCTATTTTACTTGACATATCACAGAGAGGAAGACAATCTTACCTGTTAAATACTGCAGAGTTTTCCTGAAAAACTATAACACAACCTAACTAGCTGCTTAAAAATCCAAAGAATGCAGCATATGCAGCACTATATATGCTTACTACACAGTAAAGGCAGCACCTAAAGTCATGAAAAATATTATTTTAATAACATTAAATTGTCAGGCTGGTAATTCTATCAGCCCTGCCTCAATATCTTCAACTAAAAATGACAAATTTACAGATATAATGAGATGTGTAGTTTAAAAAATAAGATAATTTATTATCCCAAAGAAAATGTACTAGAATAATAAATCAAAAAAGCACTAGGATTACTCAGACCCTAAAATTAAATTACAAGATTTTTCCATACAATTCAGAATGCACCTTGGCTGAAACAAATGTCATGAAGTAGGATGTTTTAGACCCAAAAGGATGGTATATGGAATAAGTTCGATGATGTAGTTTCCCTCTGCAATATAATTCAACAATACATGTACATTTTGTACTTTTTCCTTTGCTAAGTACAGGGAAACAGCAGAAAGAAAAATTTTATTGAATTATATAGAAATATAATTTATTTTAGTTTATATTCCTTACCAAGAATTCTTTTTTTTTTTGAAATAGCTGGTTTTGTTTTTTTTTTTTTTTTTGGTTTTGGGGATTGACTTCAGGACCTTGTGCTTGTCAGGCAGGTGCTTGTGCTGCTGGGCTATCTCCCTAGCTTAGACTTAATTCTTAAAGAAACAGATAATTCTAGGAATATCATCAATACAGGGAGTCATATAGACATGTGTAAAATATCAATGGCAAAGAACTTTGGGAAACCATTTTTAAATATAATTTTACTGGTACAGTTTAGATATACATAATGATAGCATTTATTATGGGGAATTTGTACCTGTTCATGATACATTTTTGACTCTTCTTTTTTCCCCAGTCATTTATCTTCCCTTCAACCTTGGCAAGCCATTTTGTTTCCTTAAAACATTGTGGAATCAAAGAGCTGAGGAATTGAGACTTGAAGTAATTGTGCAAGATGGCCAAGGCACAATCATACTTAAGAACTTTGAAAAGAAGACTAGTTACTACTTTTGTTGTAGTTTCTATGGATATTCTCTTTTCTTCCTGAAGTTTTTTTCTGAACTGTTTAAATTTTTATTTTTCAGCTTTATTAAAATAAAACCAGTATCTTAAGATATATATCAGCCCTCTCATGTCCACTGTAGCATTATTCAGGATAAATAAGACATGAGAACTTGGTGTCCATTTATAGATGAGTGCATATAGATGAACTGCATATATAAAATGGCATACTATTCAGCCTTAAAAAAATTCCTGCCATTTGCAACAACATGGCTATACCTGGAGGACATTATGCTAAATGAAATAAACCAAAGAGAGAATAATATGTATACTCTCACTTGTATGTAAAATTTTAAAACATCAAGTTAGAAAAATAGAGTATTAAGATGGTCACCAGGGGCTAGGATTATAATACAATGAATAACCCAAACTTTAAAGTATAAGATGACAATTTTTAAAGATCTAATATATCATACATCATAGTTAATACAAAAGTATTGTGTGTTGTAAATGCATTTAGCTTATCTTTAAAGGCAACCAGATGAGATTTTATGGGTTAGTTTTATCATAGAGAATTCTACCTTCCTTACCTTTAATCTCCACTTGCTCTCTTACTCATTGAACAAACACCCTGGCCCCTATGACATGGAAGACAAGGGGACCCTGATGCCATCGCTCATCTGGGCTTTCCCAACTATCTCCCACTGTCTGCCTTTCTCTATTGTAAGTCCTTCTCTGTAGATAACCAGCCATATGAATAGTGCAGCTGCTATATCTGACCCAGTCTCCTCCCTGTGGATGATGTCGATGGCTAACCTCTGCCCACAGGTAAATACAAACCCCTTAGCAAGGCATTCATAGCTGCCCACCCCTGCCTACTGTTCCAGTCCCAACTCAGGATTTCTCTTTTCCACATACTCTATACTGCAGCCAAGCTGGATTACTCAAACATCCAGAGTAATTCCCAACCCTGGCCTTTTTGCTTATATCCTTACCAAGGCTTAATCCAGTTCCTGATTCAGCTACTTGAATATACCAGGCTTCAAGGCCTGTCTGAATATTATTTTCTTTGTGTGACTTTCCCTGATCTTGTTTGGCAAAGTAAATGGTTCACTGTTCTATGTGCAAATAACATTTTGTTCATATTTCTATTTTAACATCTTTTCTTTGCCAGATTTAAAGTATCTCAGAATCAGGGACAGTTTTACTATTTGGATATACAGTATCCTAAAAAAAAAAAGGCTAGTTCATTTTATGTGCCAGAGAGACATTAGTTATTGAACTGGTTGAAACTCCTAGGCTTCTATTTAGTTTTTGTTGTTGGTATTATTCAGAACAATAAAGATGGGAACTGGGAATCTGATATTTTTGTTTCCTGCTTATTTATGTTAGTAAAATAATCTAGTGCACATATTATAAATAATAATAATCTAGTGAGAGTATTATAAATAATAATAATCTAGTGAAAGTATTATAAATAATAATAATAATCTAGTGAGAGTATTATAAATAATCTAGTGAGAGTAAAATAATCTAGTGAGAGAGCTGGGGGAGGACTCATCATTGAAAGATTCTCAGTGACATTTTCTGCTCAGTCCTAATTAGTTGCTCATAATAGGCTGCGTATAAGGTCAAGAATGCAGATTCAGTCCCCACCTTACTAGTTAATCAATCCTTTTTCCTCTAGCCCAGTTAGTTACTCTAAAAAAGGGTCCTAGTTGGTGGTTTCTCTCAAGGGTCCACAGTCAGATTTCATAAAGTATCAGGATCCATCAGCAATACTGGGCACGTAACTCAAGTCAGTTACTGGCGTGTTCTTCATCATTAGGTCCCTTTATTGATCCAGTCCTAGAACTTCAGACTCCGAAGTCACTTAGAGCCATAGTAATTTAACAAATATATCCAAGTAACTATAAATCTTATATAAATATTAAAGACTTGAATCAAACAAAAGAATCATTATTAGACTGAAAAATATGGACATAAAGAACCTCAAGGGGCCGGAGAGATGGCTCAGTAGAATAAGCGCTTGGCTGGCAAGTGCAAGGGCCTGAGTTCAATCTCTGGTTCGGCAAAAAAAAAAAAAGAACCTCAAGATCACAATTATGCTTGATCAGTTTAAAATTTACCATGGCAAAATATCATCATTTTATGTAAGAAAAATTTGACTAATGCTGCACTATGAAACAAAACAATATTGAAAGTAAGATCAGTTTAGCTTTTTCATAAATATTATTTCTCTTCTCATGTGAGATCTGTCAGATTTTATATTGGGGTTTAATGAACTTTCAGCTACCTTATTTTTTCTTACTCTGCAATCATAAATAATTCATAAGCCAATTCAGCAGTATCAAATGGTAGAACTTACAATGAACAAGGATTTTATTTTTAAGTTTTAGTCTGTCAAAAACAGGAGATGGGGCCGGGGAGATAACTCATAATAAGCACTTGCCTGGCAAGTACAAGAGCCTGAGTTCAATCCCTGGTTCTAAATATATAT